TGTATTAAGAAAGAAAATAATTAAAACTGAAATCAATATAAAAAATGAAGGACCTAATGTAAAACTTATTTATATTGCAAATATACGGGCCTTGTATATTATTTATATTAAAAAAGAAAAGGACTAAAACTGAAATTAAAATATAAAATGAGGGACCACAAATGTAAAACTGATGTATATTGTTGAATTGGAATATATTGATTTAACAAATCGGTTGCAGGAGGTAATGATTTAAATTGACCTATTATTCGTTGGTCTTTGGGTGTGATTAATAGTGGTTTTGACTTTAATTAGTTCGGTGGTTTTGACCCAAATTTTGGGTGTCTTTAACAACACCCGAGATCCTAGATCTAGTGCTTCTCCTCAAGCTCAATGACCTTCTAGTTCTTCCAAGTCCTTCACCAAGCACAAGAACACAAAAATCTACTCAAAACCTCTAGTTTCTCAACAAGGAGCTCACAATACGATTTAGGGGTTTTAGGAAGGCTGATGAGGGGCTGGTGGGAAGGTTAAGTCCTTTAAATAGGGTGCAGAACCCTGGAAATTAGGGTTTCCCCTCTGCCAGCCTACTCGTCGAGTTGAGGCCTCTCAACTCGTCGAGTAGGTCACTTAAGTCACGCGGCTCATATGATCTCTACTCGATGAGTTTGGGGCTTCAAACTCGTCGAGTTGTTCTTATAAATTGAATAAATAGTAGTTTAAATACATACCAAGATCCAGACGTTACACATCAAAAAGTCATCGTCAACAATGGATGGGGATGGAGGCAAGACCGATGTAGGAGGGATTTTTTCTGTAATGTGCATTGCTTTCCTTCATTTGATTTAGCGAACAAACAATATGGATTGGACATTTGGGTTATTATTATTATTATTATTATTAATAATTTATGATTAATTATGGGCTTAACTTTTTGGACTATCGACACATATTTTGGGCTACTTTAAACATTTAGTTAAACTATTTTGTGTTTGATTTATAAATTAGGAGTAGTCCATAATTTTTTCAAGAGTAGCACCGTAACTAAAAAAAAAATCCCGAAAAAATATATATTACTGGACTCCGCATATAAACGTACATCTGTATTAACCAACTTATATTAGATCATAGTTTAAATCTCACTAACACTCATGTAAATTCTAATTACGCCCAAATGTATGTCCGTCCGGCGACACGTACTATCTCTTGTATAGTAGTTAACGTCCAAACACCCTCTCGTTAAACTCAGAATGATATCTCAATGAATGGTGTGTTTTACCCACCGTTTTATTTGTGAAATATACGCTAGAACCAACCGTACGTCAAGCAGCAAAGTAACCACCCAATGTATTATTTCTAGTAATTGTTGCTTTATATGGCAAATTATCCAATCTTTTACTTTTGACATTTGAGAGACTTTACCAATCTTTTGGTTAATTAATCGACATTATATATTTATATGCTGCATTGGATGTTAAAGCGAAGACTCATTTTTATATGGCAAACCATACACATTTTCTTTCATGAGATTCTAATCCATAAGTTTCTGTGTCAGGTTGAAGATTTAACTTAAAAAATAAAACTTTTAAATTATCTAAAAAACACGCCGATGATCTAAAAAATTCCCAACTAAACACCCTAAAGATATTACCACCGAACATACACAAAAAATTATATTCAACGAAATTGATGTGATATTAAAATAAAATATTGGAAAAAATAAAGTTGCAAATAGAAAATGGGTACCCATAGAAAATATATTATCCCCAAAAAGAAAAATAAAATGAGATATGCAATTCAAGCATCCATGATTGATGGGGCAAATGTCAACTCACCCCAACTGTTCCCTTTGTTAGCACCAAACATATGAAGTTGATATCTTACCTGAAAATCACCTAATACCCCTTTAACATTTTTTTGCGTGCATATAAAAAATATAATCTCTTTTCCAAAATTATAATGTGCACAAACTTTATAATAACCATAATATTGTAAAAAAAAACGTATTATTAGTAACTCATTCAATACACATATTTTTAATGTCATGAATGTTTATATTTTCTTGTTGCAAATTGGAAGAATCTAATATAGTTCATGAGTATATGTTTTTATCTCGAATTATGTATGATAAAATATGAGATGGCTTTGTCAAATCAGTTTCAACAAATTTGATTAGTTTACCATAAACATGTAAGTAAGGTTAAAACTGCTAACTTATTTTTAGATTTGATTTTGAGGTTGATAGCAAAAATCTAACATAGTTATTATTGCACAAACTAATATAGCAATTAGCAAATCATCCAAAATGATAGGTTTACACATATTTGAGTTCATGATAATTACAAAACTATTACAATCAATACTTCACTCATTTCTAAATTAGTTTTTATATAATAATTCCTGAATTTTTATATTTTCTTTTGACTTTTAATTACCGACAATCTATAGCCTTTGAAAATATAACATATCAACTTACAACCCTTTAAATAACTCAAAACTCACAACATGGTTTATTATTTTATTTAGTTTTTTTTTTTTTTTTTTTTTTTTAAATAGCTATTGTAAATTTAAAACAGTAATCTTGTAAAAAACTGCATCGCATGCACTAAAACATCATTATGGTTTTATTAATTTTAATCTTGAAGTGGTATATTAATTAGTAATGATAAGTTGATAAAAAAAGATAGAAAATGATTGATCATCCTTCACAAACAAACCTTAGCTTACAAGCCAAGATTCCATGATAGCTCTTCCCATTCAACCATAAACTTTACCCTCCATCTATGTTTCTTTAATTTGCTTACATTAATACTCCCAGCAAAAAAAAAAACATTTATAATTTTATTATATCTTCTCGATTTGATTTTTGATTCTTTTATTGTTAACTTATTATTCAGTTATTAAGGTTCAATCACATTTTGCTCGTTGTTTTTATTTTCTGACTAAATATGAATATTAATTTTGGATATATCTAATCAACTTCTATATTTTTCTAAAACAGCAGACCGTGGTTAGTGAACAAAAAGATAATCCAAATATTAGGTAAAGTGTTCAAATAATTAACGTTCATAATACAATGGTCAAACTTTAACTTTCGATTGAGTTAAAACGATTTAAGCATCCATTTCTGCGTTTGTAAATTTTAGGAATAAAAGGGCAATCTGAAGATCGAAATTTGAAATAATGTTACTTTTTCAAAGTAAGAAATAGAATAATAAAACAATTAGAGGAGGGGAAGCATTGGTTCATTCACCATTTATTGTGTGTGACAAACAAGCTGGGATCATCATGAAACAATTATTCAACTAATACAATTAATTAATTAGTTATTAAAACCAACTTATTTTACTATAATTTTTAAATTTAAGTTGACACCAAAAGTTTTAATATAAATTTAATAAAAAATGTTTAGTTGACTGGCAACAATTTTAATAAACATATAACTAATATATATATATATATATATATATATATATATATATATATATATATATATATTGAAAACTCAAAAGTTTTTCGAGAATCTGAGAACGTTCTTGAAAAAAAACTACTTAATACATCTAGATGCTAAGACATAAGGCCATTCGTTGAATTTCTTTTCAATAAAAACGTTTTTTTAGTGATGTATATATGTGCACATTTTATGTCAAGAAAATGCATGTGTGCACAAAACAATATGTATATATGCATATTACAAAAAAAAAAAAAAAAAAAAAAAATCATATTTTGACATTTTTTTAAACAATTCTGCTTTATATATAAGCGCCTAGATGCATTAAGTCGTTTTTTAAAACAAGATACCAGGAAAAAAAATTCAAGTTGTCGGGAAAGTTCGAGTTATCAAATGAATCTTGCACCTATATATATAAACTATGATCGGAATAATAAAAGTAATTAGTCATTGGAACATTTTTGTACTAACATTATTCATATAATTATATATATCAACGAATTATTTCTTTATAAAACAAAAAATAGATATGAAACTGGTTTCTTTTGACTGTTTATCAGCAAAACTAGTTTATAACCCGTGGAAACCATGATTACAAAATTAATTAAACTTTTATAGTAAAAACTCAAAATTATTAATCAATTATTTTAAATAAATTATTAATTAAGAGATTTTTTAGTTATATAAAATTATAATCAATGATTTAAACAAATATGTGAAATTATATCATTTTATAATTTATATTAATTTTATTTTAATTTTTATTCTAATGTTATTAATTTAATGTAATTAAAGTGAGAAATTTAAATTTTGAAATTTGAAATGAATAATCAATAGCTTGACAAATGACATGTATTAATTAGGAGACATAATAAGGTGACACATGACAAAATAAGAATAAAATATGCATTAATTATGAGCCCTAATAAAATGACACATGTCAAAAAGAAAATAAAACTATTCTTTTATTAGAATAGGAAGATTACTCGATTTTCTAGTTTTGCTACCTATATTAGCGAATCTATACGATCATCCAAATTAGTTAACAAATAAACCTATCATCTTTTTATACCGTTATTTTATAAAAAGAATAAAAATCTAAATATCTTTTTATATAGATAAAAACTATAAATATTTGTGGGTCCTACAATATTTATTCACGAATACAACAAAAATTTGAAATTCAACCTAAACATATTTATTAAACAAAACCTAAACTCAAAGCATCATTCGTAATTATCATATATAAAAAAGGATTAGGTTATATTATTGAAGCCTGCATGATGCATCATAATATAAACACACATATGTTCACTATACCAAATATCAACCAAGAAAAAGTTTAGAGATTACATACATTCTGTTATATAACAAAAACGGTATGAAGCCACCTCCAACTTCTTCTTCTTCTTCTTCTTCAATCTCAACCTCTGTTCTTACAAGAAAAGGTCGACTATCTCCATACCTTTTTACATTATTAGCCTTCATCATCTTTGTCACCTTCTTATACGGTCAAGACCTCGGTTGCATCCTCGGACAACTTGATCTTGATATCAGTCCAAACCCACCACCACCGCCTTACACCACCGGTAAGTTATGCAAATGAATTATACAGGGGATGTTTGATAAAACTGAACCATTCAATGTCGAATGATTCCAACCTTTTAATGGTTAAAAGAATGTAGGATTCTTCAATCACACAGAAATATCCTTTAAACCATACAGAGGTTAATTATCAAACAGCCCCTTAAGAAAGCTGTATACTTTAAAGATATTTAAGTTGTTTTATTTTTTGTTTAGTTAATTAATTTGATGATAATTAGAGAATTACTACAAGAAATTGCCGTTTTCAATTGGGGAGACGGAGAAGGGATGTGATGTATTTAGCGGGAAGTGGGTGTGGGATCCGTTGAACCGGCCATTGTATCAAGAATCGGAGTGTCCCTACATTCAGCCGCAGCTCACATGTCAGGAGCATGGCCGGCCGGACCGGGATTATCAATTCTGGAGGTGGCAACCCCATGGTTGTTCTCTTCCAAGGTAATGTTTTATTTAGTTTTCCAATGAAATTACATTATAAACGTTATTTGTGTGTTAGTTTACTTTGTATTATATATATTTTGTGTTCATTGACCATATCTTAAACATTATTACTGTGATCGTGGACCATATTTTTTTAGGTCTTTAAAGCTGTAAATGAGATCAATCCTCGAGATCGACAATATAATTACGTTAATGTTACTTAAAATTGATTTGATAGCTCAATGTGTCCAGAAAAAAAATCAAGCTCAAAAATATTGACTATAAACGAAGTTCAATTATATAGCTTGAATTATTCAGAAATATTCATATGAACAGCCATCTTCAAGAAATTAAGTTTGAGGAATAAGGTTCGAATTTTAATAAGTATAATAGTTAACTTGCAAGAAACTTATATATATATCAGGATTAAATCGTTGCTTACATTTTATTTATGTGATGATTAATGACACGTGCAGCTTCAATGCATCATTGATGCTAGAGACATTAAGAAATAAGAGGATGATGTTTGTTGGAGATTCCTTAAACAGAGGACAATACGTATCAATGGTGTGTCTTCTACATTCACTCATCCCCGATAATGCTAAATCCATGGAAACTATCGGTTCTCTAACAGTTTTCACTGCCAAGGTACGTAACATTTTCCACTAATTATAAACAAAAATCGACAATTGAATTCATTTCAATTCCTTGGCGATGATTATTAATTTGTTATATATTGTAGGATTACAATGCGACAATTGAATTCTATTGGGCTCCCTTTTTGCTTGAATCAAACTCCGATGATGCCATCATACATCGTGTCTCTGATAGAGTTGTACGAAGAGGTTCTATTAACAAGCATGGAAAACATTGGAAAGGGGTTGATATTATGGTCTTCAATACTTACCTTTGGTGGATGACTGGCCTTCACTTCAACATCTTGTAATCGTTAATTTTCTACACTCACTTAAACCTAATTATTTCTTTATTAGATATCATTATATATATAAACGTTTAGGGTCAATTCAAGGGTTAATTAATTTTTTTATGAAAATGTGCAGGCAAGGATCGTTTGATGATGAAGTGAAAGAGATAGTAGCAGTGTCTACGGAGGATGCTTATAAAATGGGAATGAAAAGTATGTTGAGATGGGTAAGGAAGAATATGGATCCCAACAATACAAGGCTCTTCTTCACAAGCATGTCTCCTTCTCATCAAAAGTGAGTTAATTATATTGCCTTTTTACATAAAAACTTAAGCCACTCTTTGAAATTCAAAATAACTTTTAATGATTTTGATTTATCATTTTGGCTTAGCAATACATATTTTTATGTTTTTATGCTTAAGATGAAAACCTACAAGTTGAGATGCGAAATTCTATAAAAAGAAGTTCAACAACCCTTTTTATGCTTTCATTTGGCCGATTGTCTATTCTTAACAAGGTTGCTTTCACCTGGAGCTTGTTCTCCTTTTTTTTTTTTTTTTTTTTCTCTTTTTTTTATAGAAAGAAGCCTACACAATTACTATTTTATATCTATTTTCATAAATGTAGTTCTTTGATGTCACTTTTAATGTGGAGAAAACGAACGTGATTTAAGCTCACTTATTTATTTATTATTTTGGTTCTATGTATAGGAGCGCCGATTGGGGAGCAGAGCCAAACGGAAATTGTTACAACCAAACAGAAATGATTGCAGATCCAAACTACTGGGGATCAGATTGTAGGAAAAGTATAATGAATGTAATCGGAGATGTGTTTGGGAAATCAAAGTTTCCGATAACATTTTTAAACATCACACAACTCTCACTTTACAGAAAAGATGCCCACACCTCAATCTATAAGAAGCAATGGAGCCCTTTGACACCCCAACAAATAGCTAATCCAGTTAGCTATGCAGATTGTGTGCATTGGTGTTTACCTGGTCTTCAGGATACATGGAACGAACTCTTATTTGCCAAGCTTTTTTATCCTTGATAAAAACAAATGAAAATTTAATTGATAATTTTTGGTGCATATATTGTTTATCATTGAAATTATTTTGTGGTGGCGTTGCATCACGTTGGTTTAAAAAAGGCTTAGAAAGTTAGAATTAATGAAAAACTTGAATTGGGTTTGTGAAATTTCTAATTGAGATTTAATGGGTTAGGCCAAATGTGGCAAAGCCTCTTATGAATGAGCCCAACAGTTTAATTAAAAAAAAATCAAATACTTCGATTTAAATATTCCATGTATATACACCGTTCTTCGTTCTTGTATTATATGCAACATATTGATATGCTAAATACTAGCGATAATGACTTAAAAAGGTAACATATTATTCGATTTGTACACATTTGGTCACTGAGTTTTTTTTCGTCCACATTTACCCCTTAAATTTGTTAAACTGTACACATTCAGTCCTTATGACCTGTTATTCCAGGTTAGCCGGGAAAAATGACTTGATAAGGTAATATATTTTTCATTTTGTACACATTTAGTTATTAATATTTTTGTACATATTTAGTCCTTAACATTTTTTTTGTTTCAAAATAAGTCCTTTTTTGTACTCATTCAGTACTTATGAATGATTTCTTTAGGTTTTTTTCATGACATCTTACGTGAGACAATCATTGATAAGGTGGTTGGGGTTGTAGATGCTTATGTCCAATGCGATCTCGACTGCTTGGTTGCGTAAGTCTTATGGTTTGGCTTAGGTCTTGTATTTTGAACATTGTAACTTCTTCATACGATATCAGATTTTAAGGATCTTTATCCACGTGTTCATTTTTTGAGTCTACTACAACTTTTATTAAGATTACTCCCGTTAAAATATAATATATTTTTACTAACGATTTTATAAAAAAAAACATACATACATGCATTCATAAAAAACGTATGGACAAGGAAAGACGCAGTAATACATAGTAGGTGTTGCCGAGATAGTGTTGTCGATACATGGAAAATAGGTATAAACGTAAAAAAAAAACGAAATTTTTTCCACTGCGAACAGAAAAAACAGGTGTTGTCGGTGCAACACCGCGACCATACTAAATCCGCCACCGCGTATGGATATAAAAATTGTAAGTAAAAATATATTATTTTTTAATGGGAGTAATCTAAATGAAAGTTGTAGTAGACTAAAATACGAACGCATGGATATAAAGATCGTTAAAATCCGAGATCATGTGAAGAAGTTATGACGTTCAGAACACATGACCTAAGCAACCAAGTAGTCGAGATCGCGATGGATATAAGCATCAAAAGCCCCATACACCTCATTAATGAATGTCCCACGTAAGATTTCGTGAGAAAAAAACTAAAAAATCATTCATAAGTACTGAATGAGTACAAAAAAATGACTTATTTTGCAAAAAAAAAAAAAAAAACTAAATGTGTACAAAAATATTAAGACTAAATGTGTACAAAGTGAGAAATATATTACTCTATTAAGTCATTTTTACCGGGTAACCTGGAGTAGCCGGTCATAAGGACTGAATGTATACAGTTTAACAAGTAGAAGGGGTAAATGTGGACGAAAAAAAAACTCAGTGACCAAATGTGTACAAATCGAAAAATATATTACCCTTTTAAGTCATTATCCCTAAATATTAATAGCGCCAATAAATTCTCCATACCAGTAAACGCAATTTAAACCCTATAAATCAATGTTAAAGATCGTTATAATATACATGGTGTGTCGTTCTACCGAACATTTATCATTAAAAACCATATATTGAATATGACAAAAAAAATATATCAATATATTGTATAAAACATACACATTGTGTTCTTGAGTTTAAATTTTAAAGAGGGGGGAGGAAAGGGAGGGGAGAGGGAAGAAAAGGAAGAAGATGGAAGGAGAAAAAAATCATGAGATGTGTTCTCAAGTTGTAAGGGGAGGGAGAGACTTTTCACAGTTAAATGACATATTTACCCTTGGTTGGTTAGGGTTCATTAGTTTTATCAGAAGAAGAAGAAAGAGGGAAGAAGATGAGAGGGCGGTTGTAAGGCCAAGGGAGAATATGTTTCAACTGGATGAGTTCTTGATGGCAATGGTGATGTTGTGAAAACGAGTGAAGACAACAACCTTCACCATGTTTGTTGCAGGTGGGAAAGAAAATGCTTTGAAAAGGAAGATGAAGAACATATGCTAAGGAAGATGAAGAATAGGGGCAAAACTGATCATTATATGCTTTCCCTCCTAATCCGCCCAATTTTGGGCGGATAATTTGGTTTGTAAAATAGAAAGAACACCATTTTCCCTCTTAATCCTCTCCTTTCCTCCCATTTCTCTTCTAAAAAAAAGGGTTTAGGTTATTTTTAGTCACTTAACTTTTGGTTTTGTGCTCATTTGGTCAATTAACTATTTTTAAGTTTTGAAAGGTCATCAAACTTTTGGTTTTGTGCTCATTTAGTCACTTAACTTTTGGTTTGGTCACTTAACTTTTAGATTTGTGCTCATTTAGTCACCTAACTTTTAAAAATTGTGCTCATTTAGTTACTAAACTTTTATGAATTTTTTAAGTTTAGTGACTAAATGAGCACACTTTTAAAAGTTAGGTGACTAAATGTGACCAAACCAAAAGTTAAGTGACTAAATGAGCACAAAGCCAAAAGTTTGATGTCCTTTTAAAACTTAAAAAGAATTAAGTGACCAAATAAGCACAAAACCAAAAGTTAAGTGACCAAAAATGACCTAAACCCTAAACAAAACTTGAGAACACAGTGACAATGATAAAGTTTTTTTTAGGTAAAACTGCTTAAAATTTAATTCTAGGGTCCAGTTTGTAATTATGGCAAAAGTGCAGGGACTAATTCTGCCATTATGCCATCTGGGTAATTGTCGATCGGTTGACGAAGTCCGCCCACTTCCTTCCAATCAAAGAAAGCTTCAAGATGGAGAGACTCACACGGATCTACCTTCAAGAAATAGTTCGCCTTCATGGTGTACCTGCATCCATTATTTCCGATCGAGATAGCAGGTTTAATCGAAGTTCTGGCAGTCACTACAGAAGGCTCTTGGAACTAAGTTGGATATGAGCACGGCTTATCATCCGCAGACTGATGGACAGAGTGAGAGAACAATTCAGACCTTGGAATATATGTTGAGAACCTACGTCATCGACTTCGGCGCGTCATGGGACACTCATCTCCCTTTGGTTGAATTTTCCTACAACAACAGCTACCATACCAGTATCAAGGTTGCACCGTTTGAATCCCTCTATGGTCGTAAGTGCATATCCCCTCTGTGCTGGGCTGAGGTGGGCGACACGCAGCTAGCCAAGGGTCAAGTCCCCGACAGTACTCTCACTGGT